TCTGTGATCAAATTGACATGATGTGCGTGCCTAAACTTTAACACCAATCACTTTAAGTGAGAGAAAATTAATCATTGTAAATTATAATTCAGTTGATAGATTAGTTATCCACTGAGTTCTCTGTTTATAATTCATATGCTTCAATTAATTTCAATCTCTTCATTACTTCAATTTCTTCAAGTAAGGTAGATATAATAAAGTAAATTGTTGGTTTTGTACATTGAGTAAAGCATTATGGGTATGTTAAAGGGTGGGACTGAAATGCCCTCTCCAGCTCAATGTGCAGCCACATCGGTTAGATTAGTGAGTGACTTGTGTGGCCTGAACTATGCCTTACTATTATATTTAGGCCACTCCAATTAGATTTGTATCCCTGCCCCATTTCTCGCCCACATAGTCCCCCCTCGCTATTTCGTTACCATAAGTAATATTTTGCCATTGCTAAAAGAGGATATGCATGCTAAGTGTATTCATAGCTTTTTAGTACCGTATATCCAACTAAACTGGCCGCCATGTTGGACGTCAAGTTTATTAAGAGTTCAATGGAGGAAAACACATTTTTTTGCCTTGCTACCTTCTTGAGGTCTTTTTTGGAAGCTTAGCAAGCATCCTGAGGATCTAATGGGGTCTAGTAGTCACCTGAAAGATTGCTATCAAGAAATACAGAGGGTTTCCTGGTAACAAGCCTTTTTCTATCATTTCTCCATTGCTGCCAATGGAAAGTTGACGTCCAACGAACTAATATTTTTTTTGAAAGTTATTACGGTATGCAATGAATACATTTATTTTGCAATGAATATACTTAGCACGCATATCCTCTATATTCACAATAATAAAGTGTAGCTAAATACGTGTACCATCGAAATTGATAGAGTGTTGCATGACTACAAGACCACATGTTTACAGTGTTCAGCTAATTTTCTATTCTTTAGCAGCTTTATTGGAGCCATTTTACCAATAGCAACTTGTTCTGTTTCTGTTATGCCCACCATCCACTAATCAACTTTGTTGAAAGCAACTTTGTGGTTACTTTGATGTGCTGTCAACTCTGTTGCCTAAAATAGAATTCAGTTCTATTTTAGGCAACAGAGTTGCCCTAAGATCAAAGTAACCACAAAGTTGCTTTCAACAAAGTTGAATAGTGGATCATTGGCTTTAGCTTCTTGTATGAACCTCTATCTCAAAGCTCATTGCTGCAAGTTGTTGCTGGTTGGCCAGTCATCATAACAAACCACACCTAAGCCAATAAGCACTAAATGGAATGGTTGGAGAATTTTATAATACAGCAAGTAAGTAGAGTAGTTCTGAAAAGAACTGGTTAAAGCAGCTTATGGGCTAGTAACAACAACACAAGAACACTGCATTAGCATGCTTTGCTTTAATATCAAATCACATCTGCATGATAGTTGCTGCGTGGCAAGTGCAGTAAAAAATTGGAAATATTAGCAGCCACCAATACGTCCTGACCTACGTTATTGCTGTCAGACATTAATTATGCACATACATATAGTTTATACAAGTGATAATGACTAAATTAATAATAAGAATAAACATACCTACCCGCCCACCTCTGTAATAGGATACTATGATTGGAGTGGGGATC